ATAGATACATCAAATTAATGAATTTATTATTTTAAGAGTAATAATTTGAAATTAATCAAATTGCATTACCAAGATATACATGTTTTTATCTTATATTAATAATATTAATGAATTTACTATTTCAAAGAATAATAAAATGAAATTAATTATCTATGTATTTTGAAAATCCTCAATTACTCCTCTAATTAAGGAAATCAGTTCCAACCAATTAATTTAAATAAATAAATTTTGTATCTCAATTTTAAAATTCGACAGATACTGCATGTATCTCATGGATTCAGACTCATGAATCCTAAGCATAAAATATGGTACATGAAGTAATATTTGAAACTATTGAGAATCTTAATAATTAAGACCTAAACTAGTGAGATTTATGTGGTTTGCCCTTAAAAATTAGAGTGGAAAGAAAAAAAAATGATGGGCTGGAACGTATGGAGGGGATGGGAATTTTAGGAGTGGGCTAGGGGTTAATGAAAAAGAGGCCCAAATTGATTTCTAAAAAAGTTTAAAAGGAGGTAAAAGAAAAGACTAAAATCATAAAAAGAAATATAGCCAAATTGATTTCAATTTGCGAAATCGGCTAAAATCCAAATAGGACGAATTAGTATAACTAATTAATGAGCTTCTTACCTTTCATGAAATAAAAATAATTAATTTGATTAGATATAAAAATAAATTTTATAAATCATTAAATAACTAAGCAAACTAACCAATTATTTAGTTGAACAAAACCTTTTGAGACGATTTTCGAATATTTATAAAATTCAAAAATATACATATATTATTTAAAAATTATAAAAGTGACAACCTATTAAAAAACTAACTTGACAAAAATATTTTGAATTTTATAAAAGTCAATTATTTTAAATCCTTTGAAAATTAAGAAGTTCGGAAATTAATTATTATTGGGGAGAGTCAAAATTGGGTGTCAACATAGATCAAGAAAGAGTCGTCTCATTTCCTTACTTCTTTATAATTCATTCACTTCAAGCTAAGATTGGTTTCGAACGCCGCGTAACATCATCTTCAACCAACCTCCACCGTACTTTTGTCCCTCTATCATCTTCTATCTGGTAGACTTGGTAAGGGGCCCCAACTTATTTCTAGAATTTAAATGCGGCTGTGACTTCCTTTTTTTTGGGGGATCAAGTAGCAAATCCATAAATTTTAAATTCTAGTTTTGCCTCTTTTCATTAAGTATATTTTTTTTACATTACCAATATATATGAGGTAAGCAATTTTGCTGTCTTCACAATGAATATAACACGTCGAATTTGGTGTTTCTTGAAATATGAACCAACTAGATCTAGATAAAATAAGATCAAATTTACCGAATAATTAGTGAAGCTTAAAACTTTTATGAACTTTTATAATTTTAATACTTCATATTTAATTAACTAATAAATTTGTTATTGTTGCATATAAACATAATTCATGAGATCGTTAATCAGATTAGATTAAGTTACCATTAGTTAATCCTCTCAAATTTTACAAGATCTTAATCCTCTCGACATTTGTTTTAGTCGATCAGCTAACCTTTCATTAAGATGATATTAAAGGACTTAATAAAAAGGATTATTGGCCATAGTCGTGCTTAACTAAAAAACATTGATGATTTAATTTTATTTTTTGTTGTTATTATTTTTGGTTATCAAGTGAATTAAATGGCAGTCACAAAAGCTTGTAATTAATGAGGCGGTGCAAGTACATAAATTACAGAATCAAACTTAATAACTTTGATTAAAATTCTATATTTATTTCAAGAAAACGGTTGAATACATATAAATTATTAATTTAGAATAAAGTGATTCAAGTAAATAAAATTCTTAAATTCATAAATTTCAAATCTTGACTTCGTCTTTAGTCATCTTTCAGGAAATCCAATAAATAGTTGTGTATCTACCTCCATTTTTCGTGCTTGAGGACTTTCATCTTCTTGTCGATCAATAAATAAAGGCAGCGATCGAGCCTCATACTGTAATAACAAATTAAAAAATATTTAATGATTATTCAATCAAAATATGACTCGCTAAATTCATTTCGATTCTTCCAAAATTTAGATTGACTTGTAGATCAGATTGACCCATGAGAAATTTTAGAAGATGCACACGAATAGAGTTTCAATGTGTGTTAATAGGTAAAAAAATTTAATATAAAAATACAAGTAAACCTTTAACATGTAAAATTAATGATTTAAAAAATTATTTCGATATCCTACGATAACAAGTTACAAATAAAAGTAAAAATAATAATAATTATACTGTTAATATATACAAATTAATTCAAAATTTGGCAAAAATGTGGTAGGGCAACATATTAAAGTAAAAGAAGGTAAAGTTATCTAAACTTGAGGTTTTTGTTGTCTCCATAGCTTAAAAACTATTATTTCATTTATTTTATTTTAGGTGTCTTAATTTGATCGATCTTGTTAACTTTTAAATCATATATAGCTTAAACACATTATTTCATTCATCTTATTTTATGTGTTTTAATTTGATCGATTTTTATTAATCTTTAAATCTAAAGTTGCTAAATATAAAAAGTGAATTATAAAATTATATTTCACCTTTTCCCGCAATTCTGCATTTTTCTCCATTAGGACTTTTACCTGGGACAAAAGAACCAAGGAAAATTATAATAAAGCAATTATTACGCGATTTTCTCAAATTTTTTAAAAATTGAAATGTAAATAAAATAAAATAAAATAAACTGATTTTATGGATACAATAATATATACTAATGCATTTTACCTCGTCTTTTAGAAGAGAAATTTTTTCCTTGTATAGCTGGTTCTGAAATTATAAAACACAAAAATATTAATTCCATTGTAAAAGCTTCACTTTATGTTATTACTCCGTTTATTTCAATTTACATGAATCTATTTTCTGTAAATCGGTTTTACAAAAGTATGATATCTTTTCAAATTTAGAAACAATTTAGTTTAAATCTTTTATTTTACTTAACAAGATTTTATAGCTATACATAAATATTATGACATGTTTAATCTCAGTAACGAATCCAAGATTGACATTAAGGGGAGTCAATGGTTATAATAAAAAATATAATTATGACTACAACATACAATCTCAAGAAATTTTCACAACACGTTAACCAGTAGATTAAACATTTAACTTGTGTCAAGAAGTGTCAATACTTGTATATATGTTTATTAAATCAAAATATGACCCTATATACGATATAATTTTTCGACGAAGAGGTATCAAGCGCTTGACACCCCTTATTCAAGGGTGGGTCTGCCCCTATTTAACATCATAAGTTCCAAGAAATTTATAACCACGTAATATAATGATATGTTTAAAATCAGATATTTCAAAAATCTGTATAGATTATGATTAGATATTTAAAAAATCTGTTTAGATTATGATTTGATAAGTTAGCATCCACATGGACACACAAAAGAGTGTGTGGCACACAGAGAGGTGAGTGTTGGGGTGGGGGGAGTTTCAATTTATGAGGGGGAAAAAAATGTATTTTTATACTCTATATATTATACTTGTCATGTTTAAAGAGCATATGACTCAATGGGTATTTTAATGCATTACATATATTTTAAGTTTAAAATTACTAAATTCAAAAGTTATTCTTAAATTATGTATCTGATGAATGAAAACACTTAAATTATGTGTAGTTCAGACTCTTAAAAAATTGTAAACAAGTGCATTAGATCTCTATTTGTACATACATACCTTTTTTGCCCTAATATTTCTTAAACTTTGATCTAACTGTCCTTCTACCTTTTCAAGTTCATCAATGGAGCAAGACTCTAAATCTTCTCCTAAAAGCCTTCTGCAATCAACAACATAACAACACAGAAAATAAATAAATTCAGAATCATCTACAAATTAGTTTTATACTCCCTCCGTCTCAATTTATGTAGCATTTTCGGATTTCAAGATTTAAATAAGTCTAACTTTGACTGTAATTTTTTCATACATCTTTTAAATATTATGGATTATCAATTATGTAATTTAAAGTATTTTTTACGTAATTTACGAATATATAAATTTCATTTCAAAAAATCTGAAGATTCTATATATACCCAAATTTATGATCAAATTTTAATTGTTTAACTCTCAAAAAATGAATAGTGGCACATAATTGAGACTGAGGAAATAATATAATTATCGTAGCATAGGGAAATTGTAGATATTAATTACCTTTTAGAGTTTTCAAGAACCTCCAGATTCCTAGTCATGCTCATAACCTCCTCCTTCAAATGCTACATAAAAATTTAATAAACAAAATATTTAAGGAATTATATTTAAAAAGTTTTCGAAAGATTAGGAATGAAGAACTGTTCATCTATAAACACTCGTTAGAAAACGTAACACAAAATGTATGAAAATGTAATCAATCTTGATCTTTAAAAGCTGGTATAAAAGGATTTTAAGATATTTGTAAGGAATAAAAAAAAATTAAGCTTTACATACAAACTATGGTTGCCTCCGAAATCTTGTGCAATAAGAAGGCACCATCTGAACTTGAAGGTAAGTCCAACAAAGTAGTGGTTACATCGATGTTGTACGGGGCAGAGTGTTCACCAGTTAAGAATTAATTCGACATTCAGAAGATGCAAGTTGCGGAATGAGGATGTTGAGATGAATGTGCGGGCACACTAGGACGGATATTAGTGACAATGCCAGAATGGCGGCTGCCATAGTGGACAAGACGAGGAATCAAGACTAAAATAATTTGGACATGTGAAGAGGAGATGCGCAATATTGCCCCAGTAAGGAGGTGTCAGAGGCTTAATATAGCAAGTGTGAAAGAAGTAGAGATAGGCCGAAGAAGTTTTGGAGAGAGGTGATTAGTCTGAGTATGTTGTTGTAATACATACAACTTTGGTTGGATATTCCAGTAGGGAAGTACAAAATTTCGTTAAAGATGTTCAAGATATTTTCAAAGTTTAATATATATGTATGAAAAGTACATGTATAATTTTTCTACGAAAGATATTCAATTGACTACCCCTCGCCATACCTAGCTATACCCCTGAGATATTCACAAGTGTTTAGCAAATCATATTACACTATTCAAGATTGTGGCTGGGTTTATTATAAAAGATACCCTAATTAATCCCCTAGTACTTCAAAAATCTGGCTTAAATCAGAAATAATATCAATTAAAGAGCACTAATTTTGGGTTGATTACAGCATTTTCCATGTTATTAATTATCCACATGAATGTGGTAATATTATATAATATATATAACATATAAACATAGCATAAATTGAAAAAATGCTAACCTCAGTAGTCTGTTCAAGTAATATTTTGTCATGTCTCAAATTCTTGTCATTCTTCTGATAACGTTCTATTGTCTTGTTAGTACTGTAAAAAGAAAAGAAAAAAATGAAGAAACTCACACTATTAGTTCTCCAACATTTTACTCTACAATAATGGAAAAGAAAAATGACGTGAAGAATGGTCAGTTGAACATCTTTTGTTAAAAAGTTATATTATGTATATAGAAAATTTTACGAAGTATACAAATCAAACTTTTCATATGTAATATATTAAATCTTGAACAACCTTGATAAAATTTATAACATCGCCGCTGACTTTGTACTAACTTGAATCCCCCATTATATCTTAAGCCGTTTTAACAATGCCATGCCTCTATGTTTGAATCCTAAGAGCCTTTACATTATCTTGGATGGATGTATGAGGTCAAAATTAGGTGTAATTTGTTCAAGATACACTGTATTCAAGTGGATTTACATGTATTCTCTTGCTCACCTCTATCCAATCTCGCTCGTCTCTCTCCCTATTTTAATGTATCTGATAGAAAAAAATACATGTATCTAGTTGCATCTGACTTGAAATCTAGTATGAAATTATTAATTAATGATTCCTATGTTTGAATCCTAAGAGCCTGAAATTTTAGTCACATTGAAAAGGTGTTTAGTGCCTCTTGGTTGGACTTCATAATGCAAGGTAAATTGCACTATATTAACAAAATATAAGGTACATAGTAATTTTGTGCACTATCCATATTCTTCCTCTAGGTTGGTGTGATAAAGAGTCCAAATAGACCAATGTTGGCATTCAATTGTATCTATGACTTCATTATCTTTCTTTTGGAATGGTGAGTTGTTGTTAGATCATTGGATTTTGCCCATGTCTTTTCCTCTTTTCCCTTTCTAGTGTCTTTTCATGACTAGGCTTACCCATTTGTTTACCCTATTTGGTATCTTAATTCCCTAATCAACTTTTTGCACTCTTTTTGTATCATGTTTAAATATCTTGCAATATTACAAAATATAGACCATCACTCATAATAAATATTTGGGTTCAAAGATATATTAGTCTTTCTTTTATAGTATTTGAACTATATATCAACCTTCATTGGTTTTTTCACTAGATTTGTAATTTAGTTAGAAGAGTTGTCTAACCACCCTAGGGAAATACTTTTTTTTTGTTTTTCATCCGATATCCGATACCCATATTGGAGTTCAACTAAATCCAAATTTACATCGGCAAATTCCACATTCGGAGTAAAGGTCTCCCTTGTCACTAGTTTCCTATCAAAAGTCTGCGTTCCCACTTCAATTGGCTTATTTTTACTCTCCATGTCATTGTATCACAAAGGAATACTCCTTTGTTAACTTATTGATATAACAAGGACCCCAGATTCACTCTTTTTCTCTTAGCCACCCTTTGTTATTTCTCTAAACCTAGACACAAGTTCACTCAAAGGGAATATTAGGATAGAGTCGGTGAAGGCTGGCCAGCCTAAAATATTCTTTAATAGGTGGATATATCAATAAATGAACACTCTTAAACACAACAAAGGTTTGTGGTCTAGTGGTAAGCGTACTCATTTAAGAGTGTTATAAGGTCCCAAGTTCGATTCCTGTCTCTAAAAAAACAGAAAGAAACAGAAATAGTTGTCCAGTAGCAAAAAGTTTCAACGATTCTCTTGAACTATAAAAAAATTCACTTATTTTAAATTATGAAAAAGTCCCAACAATTCACCTGAGTGTATTCAACTAGTAGCTGAAATTGTTTTTATCGACTTTTCTCTGTTAATTTTGACTTAGACCATTGATAGTATTGTAATTTAAGTTTTCGTATGATTTAGTTAGATGATATGTAATTTAATTTTAAATTTGGATGCACCCATTCATCAGTAAAAAAAATTATAAAATTGTGCACCCACTTTGCTAAAAATAAATCACTCTTTTAAAATTTGAACACTCTTGACGAAATTTCCGACTCCGCCAGTCGGTACATATATATCTTTTTGACTTTAAAGAAATTGAGGATTGGGGAAGAGGAAATCCAACCTTCATCGATTCACCAAATGACATCTCGGATATCCCATAAAGAGATCAAAATATTCTTAGACTATTCTTGACAATCAAATATTTTAAAAAGATCCACAAATCCTTTCATAAAGATCTATTCCAAATTAGCCTAGTTCGAAAAATATGCCACGAATGATCCTCGAATCACGAATAACTCTTAAGAGAGACAAGAATCAAAAGAGAAACATAATTGTACCCATATTATTTTATTAATAATATTCTTATTTCTTCATATTTTATTTATGTTTGATTTATTTCCATATATTTAAAATTTGTTGCAAACAATTATAATGCATATTTCAATAATTATATATATTACCACGGGAATATGAAAAAGCTGAATGTAATTTTTTGAAACAACAAAAAACCTTAGATTTGTTAGGAAGCTTCTCGAATGATCGATTGTAATATCTTAGATATTTATCTTAAAGATAGATTTAAAAATTCTAGAATCTTCTTAAGATGGTTGAAAGATAAAGTTATCAAAAAAATTCTTGTAGATATATCTAGAAGCATCAATAGACGTGTATAAATAGGGCCGGCATTAGACTTTTGTAATCAATTCAAGAAAAATCAATTCAAGCTAATTCTGGTTCTTTTCATTACAAAGTTCTATTATTCCAAATCCTCTTTCTTCTTTCATGCTTCCTCTTCTTTAGTTAAACCTTCCGATCCTAGTTAACAATCTAGAGCTTGTAAAGTTGTTAACATGATCGAAAAATTTAACTAAAGAGAGGTATCCATGAAGGAAGAACGAGTATTTTGGACAAGAGAACTTTGTAATTTTTTTTGATCTGTCAAGATAGTACAAGGATTTCTTGTCGGGGCGGCTCTATACAGTAAGAAAATAAGGCATATGCAAATTGGGGGCCTCAAACTTTTACCAAAAATATATTATATGTAAAAAATTTATAAAAAATTAATTATTTATGATGAAAAATTATATATATATATATACTCTTTCACCTCATTCAAATAGAAGAAATCAAGAAAATATTGTTTACCTTCTTACATTTTTGTGCTAACATTCTCATTATTTTATTCTTTTTAATTGCTTTTGTACTTTTCTTTTTCAAGTATTTGATAAGTTAAATTAATGCTCTATCAAAAATATGAATCAATAATTAAAAAGTGAATTGTAATTTTCTTTTTCTTATATCTTCTTAAAGTTTCAAGATTAAAACAAGCATATTAAGGTGGGAACCAAGTTATCAACTTTTTGAATTAGATTCTTTGCTTCTATCACTTATTTTTATTTTAAATTTGTTACTTATAGAATTTCCTTTTTCTTATACCTTCTTAAAGTTTCAAGATTAAAACAAGCATATTAAGGTGGAACCAAGTTATCAACTTTTTGAATTAGATTCTATGCTTCTAACACTTATTTTTATTTTAAATTTGTTACTTATAGAATTATGTAAACAATTCATATAATGATTATATTAGTGAAAGAGTGATTTTCAACGTTGAAATCTTACCTAACATTAATTATTGAAAATAAATATTTGAACAAATCATTTATTAAAAAAAACATTAAGTAATTAATTTGCATCTAAAAAGTGTGAGAAAAGTAATTTTTAAATAAAACATATGTGAGTCCGGAGTCAAAAGGGTAAAAAAAAATGCCAAAAGGGCAACATAATTCATTTTAAAACCAAAAGGGCAATTTTTTAACGGTTGAACTAACGTCGTTGAAATTAGGTTGACAGCCGCAAAGCGCACGGAATTCCATGCGCCCTTGCAAGGCACATGTATTCTACGACCTGATGTCAAATTTAAAAAAAAAAAAATCTTTAATTGTCCAAGTCTCCAAAACTACTCTCAATATTTACACCTCTTCCTATTCATTGTCCATGTCAATCAAGGACAATTTTGTCATTTTAATAAACTCCACTATTGATTAAAAAAAGTCCAAAACCTTTTTTTCTACGATAAATTATTATAGTCGAACTTACGATTTCAAGATTTAAACTTTATTTGTTCTATATCTACCACCCAACTCCCTCAATAGATATAGAACCAATAAAGTTTAAATCCTGAAATCGTAAATTCGACTATAATAGCTTATCGTAGAAAAAAAGGTTTTGGTCTTCTTCTTTTTTTATCAATGGTGTTCTTTAAAATGACAAAATTGTCCTTGGCTGACATATACAATGAATAGGAATTAAGGCTGAAGGTGTAAATATTGGGATTAGTTGAGAGTATTTTTGGTAATTTTGGAGACTTGAACAATTAAAGGAATTTTTTTAAAAAAATTTGACAACAGGTCGCAGATCGTCAGAGCCTTGTAAGGTGTATGGCGGTTGCGCCTTGTGTCTGTCAACATAATTTCAACAACGTTAATTCAATCGTTAAAAAAAGTTTTCATTTTGGTTCTAAAATGAATTTTATTGTCCTTTCGGAATTTTTGTAAATTTTTTTACCCTTTTAACTCCGGACTCAAACATATATAGTTTGTTTAGATTTTAGAGGCATGTTTAGATTTTAGGCCTCTACTGAAGATTTCGCTTTAAGCCTTCACGTATGTTGAGCCGCCCTTGATTTCTTATCACACACCATGTTTCCGGTTTTCAAATTATTAATCAAACTTCTTAATTATAGGTTGAGCTAAGTATATAAAGGTTACTAGTCCCTCCCTCCCAAATTAGATTGCACACCTTTTTTTTTTTATCTGTCCTGAAAATAATGTCACACAAATTCTAATTAGAAATAACTTATCTTTAAAATTCTTCATTTACCATATAAATATTTAAGATTTATTTAGATCATAAATTTCAAAAAAAAAAAAATCATAAATTTTGTGATTAATTAAACTATATCAAATAATGAGACGGAAAGAACTTGACTCTTTCTATTTGCTAAAACTAGCTAGAGGACCTAATAAAAGGAAAGATAATTAGCAGAAGTTGATTTTCACTAGGGTTTAGCACTAGGGGTTATTGGTGTGAAGGACAACACCAAATAGTTCTGAGATTAAATTATAATGTCACTTAATTTGTTGATCGATTGACAAGTCCAACATATAACTTGTCACGGGATAAGTTATATATATCCCTCTCCTTGGGTGGTAAAGTAATCTCGGGATAACTTATTCCAGGATAAAATAGGTAAAAATGCTAAACATATTCCTTATATCCTCTTTATACCTCGCTTTTTACATTCATGTATATTTATATTATTTTAAATTTCACGTATAATAACACATTCCCATCCTTCTCTGCTCCTTATTTTTATGATAATTCTTCATATTTTTCTATTAAAATATTACACTAAATACATATAATTGTTATTTGTGAATTTATTTGAGTAATTTTATGTTTATTTATATTTTGATTTCTCATAAATCCTCCTTTACTTTAACAAACTCAAGATGAAATTCTATTTTTAAGCTAAATAAGAACGTTTTATTTGAAAATACATACGACACCATCATGTAAATAAACAACTTAATCTTAAAATTTATGTCATGCATATTATTATTTTGTATACAACAAATCAAACACTCAATTAAAAATAGTCTCAACATAATTATCCCATCATAATTAATTTTAACATAATTTATCCTATTTTAATTAATCAAAATCATAACTTGTAATCATACCAAACAAACCCTTTGAGTTATAAACAGGCAAAAAGTTGTGTGGGGTATTGGAAATGACTATTGGTAGCAAGTACAATTTGTCAGGTATATTTATATTATATTCCAAAAAGAATTCAAACCACAAGTAGCATCTTGCACATGCTTCAAGAATTTTACTTTCTTGTTTGAAGAGTAGCTTGCCAGTACATATTTTACATAAAATAGTCTAGAAATTGTACATGTTACAGCTTAATCAAGAATTTATATAGATTATATATGATGTACTTATATTATAAATACCTCATGTACTATCATCAATACTACTCCCTCCGTCCCTATTTAGTTGTCCATATTTCCTTTTTTAGTTGTCCCTATTTAGTTGTCCATTTTGACAAATCAAGAAAGGACAACAATTTTTTTCCTATTATACCCTTATTTACACTTCTTGAAAATTTCTAAAAAGTGTATGTTGTTTCCCTCCAATTTATTTCACTTGAATTCAAAGAAGTGGTTGTAATTTTGAAGTGAAAAGTTGTCATAAGGGTAAAATTGTAACTTCACTGTGTTAATCATTGTTGCCTTAATCTGTGTGCCATTTCTAAAGTGGACAACTAAAAAGGAACGGAGGGAGTACTTGTTAGTATATATTATGTTTTATTTGAGTTAGAGATCTATCAAAAGTAATCTCTAGTTATATATCTTCATAATGTAGCTATGTAATGGCATAGTTATATTGACCCAGGGTGGTCATTGAAATGTCCGAGGTCATTTGGTTGGAAACAAGTTATTCCCCTCTGTGATACGTCACTCCCCCCCCCCCCCCCGTGATAAATCACTCCTCTATCTATCTGGATGTCCTATCCCCTCTTTGATGCATCTTTTTCATCTCGGATGCATCTATTCCCTGTGTATCTGAATGTCTGTTGATGTATCTGGAAGTCCAAATGATGTATATGTAATTCATAGTATTTTAAGGTACTTTTATAATTTGAAAAAAATGTAGGGAAATAATGTAATTAACTCGTAATGCTATTGAATTTATGTAAATTATACTTAGAATTATAAATAAAGGTTTGATCAACACACTAAACATAATTCCTAGTTTTGCCACTAAATTTATACGGGGACAAAGTTGTGTACACACTATCCTCGAGAAAATGATCAAAATGGTCATTCATGTATGATGGTTGTTTTATGTTGATCCTTAATATATTTCATATGATCTATATGGTCCTTAATGTATATGAAAAGAGGATCATTTTAGTCTTTTAACCCTAAAACTAACCAAAAAAAAAAAGACGGTTAGATTTAACAAATTTGCTTTCTTTCACCATCACCGCCATAGACCCTTCTCCTCAACTTCTTCTTTTGCCTTTTGAGGTTCATGCTCTATATCCTCATAAGAAAAATAATATACACTACACCCATTTCTCATCTCCATCTAAATAAAAATTTCAAAAGCTTCCATTATCATACATAAAGAAGAATAAGAAAACCAAAATCATTAAAACAAATGTAAACTAAGTAAATCAAATAAAAGACTCAATTTCTCTTTCCAGGAGATCACCATAAATCAACTCTTTTAAAATTGTAACTAGTTATTCTTTCTTGTCGAAGCGATTTATGTGGAGGATATAGCTTTCCTTTGTTTTATCCTTCTCAAAATTACTAATTTTTTCAAGCCATTTTTTAATTCTATTTTTAAAATTAAAGGGTAAAAATTGAACAGATGTAGAAAACAAAAATCTTACAAATATTCTTTTGAAATTTGAAGAAACTTTTCTATGCATGAGAAGATTTTAACAGCAGAAGTTGTAGAAAGAAATGAAAAAAAAAAAAAAAAAGATGAAGGAGAAGAACTGTGCAAGAAAGATGGAGGAAGAAGGTCTCAATTGTGGGACCCACAATTAACTTTAACATTTTTTATTTTTTCAGTTAACTTTTAGGGCTAAGTACCAAAATGATCTCTTTTATAATACATTAAGGACCATATGAATCATGTGGAATATATTAACATAAAACAACCCTCGTACATGAAGGATCGTTTTGATCATTTTCTCCACTATCCTCTTGAGGTTTTATTTATGAAATTACACTGAATATATTATTATTGTAATTGACTAAAAAATGGGGGGGGGGGGGGATTATTATATTTAGTAGAAACAAGAAGATAAAGGGTCCCTTTTACACTGTCAATATGAGCTGTTGTGATCATTGTACTTGGTACTTGTTACATCAAATTCTAAAGGCCAGTTATATTAGGATTAATGATGTATAATATATATATATATATATATATAATGATATAATTAAAAAAATAAAAGTTGAAAAAGGAGTAATTAATAATATTATTTATAGCAATTAATAAATTAAGAGATGAATATAAGAGTGTACCTTGAACTTGAAAACTCAAAAAGCTTTCCTTTTTGAGAAAAAATGATAAGACTAACTTCAGCATCACAAAGAACTGAGAGTTCAAATGCCTTCTTAAGTAGTCCACCTCTTCTTTTTGTGAAAGTCACTTGTCTACTTGTTGTATTTTCAATCCTTTTTATCTCAGTTTTTCCCCTCACCATTTTCTTCTTCGTGAGAAAATGAATACCCTCTCCGCCAATAAAATCACAAGCTATAAAGAAGAAATAATCAAAGATTAGATACTAATGAATGATCTCTTAAAAGTGTACTCAACACTTTTTAAGTCAACCAAATCAAGAAATCATAACAATTCATGGGAAGTTTTCATAAATTGAAAGGTCTCTAAATCAAGATTTTGAGACAAGAAAATCATGGATATGAATAATCTCTTTAAAAGGGTCAACTTTTAAGTCAACCAAATCAAGAAATCCCTTGTTGTAAGAAACTTGTTACCTTCTTATAATCAAGTGGTTCAACCGCTTTAACGTCTTTTTCCTTACAGTCAAGTGGCTAAGCAACTCACGAGAACGTTTCCAAAAATAGAAAGGTCTCTAAATCAAGATTTGATACAAGCAAATCATGAATATGAATCAACTTTTTTTAAGAGAAAACAATACAACCAAATCAAGAAATCCTACCAATTCATGAGAAAGTTTCCAAAAATAAAAAGGTAGCTAAACCAAGATTTTAGACAAGAAAATCATGAATATGAACTGAACAATCAATTAAAAAGGTCAATTTTTTTAAGACAAAATAATACAACCAAATCAAGAAATCCTAGCAATCCATGACAAGTTTCCAAAAATAGAACAAACAAATCATGAATATGAATAATCACTTAAAATGGTCAACTTTTTTTAAGACAAAATAACACAACTCCAAATCAAGAAATCCTACCAATTCATGAGAAGTTTCCAAAAATAGAAAGATTCTAAATCTTGATGTGGATATAACCCCTAAAAATAAAAACTTTATGGTTTTTCAGATCTGAAAGATGAAGAGAAAAGTAATTAGAAAACTTTGTAAGTATATTATAATAGAGTGAAGACACAAATAGTTGTTATAGAAACCCTAGTTAAGAAAATTATTGTTGACTATGAAAAAAAAAAAGGGAAAAATGAAGAGCATTGATTTCTCAAAGACTTTTCTAATACTATTATCTTTCCTTTTTGAGTTGCAATCAATGGATATAAAAATAAAAAAGACATAAACTTATTAAGGAAAGAACACCACTTATTTCTTTTTCTTCTTTTGGTAAACTTTACTACGTGTAACAAAAAAAATAGTTCCAAAGAAAGAGATAATAATAATAAAATAATATATGGTTGGCAACAAGAGAGAATCATACACAATTTCATTCGTCTAGACGCTCTAAGGGACCACCAATGACTCAACAAATAAAACGTTTTATTCGAGATTCCAAATAAAATTGACACGATCGTTTATTAGCTAGTTAGAATTATATAAGTATTAATAATGCGAATATTAGTAATTATTTCATATTTTACATGCTATATACCAATTCCCTCATAACTTGTACTCTCTTCGTCACATTTTATCTGGTGCCATTTGATTTGATACCATAATTTTAAAATTTATAATTTAAAATATTTTTTAGATATTTGTGTATAGCTGTAAATCATATTATTAAGGGTATAAGAAAAAAAAATTAAATTATTTTGGGGACAAACTAAAATGAAAAAACGTATCACATTAAATGGATCAAAGGAATCATAACATTTAGTAATCACGTAGTTTCTTGTTCTTTTATGTACTGTTTCTACTATCTATTAGTGGAGTATTTCATTTTGCTTTGTAGATTGATATTTTGTTGTCATATTTTCTTTTTGCAACCCTTCTATCGAAAATAATTATTCTATCCCACAAAGGTTTGTAAGGAATGTGGTATTCTCAGTCATTCCATTTCGTTCAGTTGGTACTAGTAATGTCACATCACGCTCTTCCTTCTTATTGAAGTCCTGCCTCGAAAAAGTCAGGATTTTTTGACAGATTCCTGCATCCAATCCATCTCTTTCTGTTGATTTCTTGGATTATCGGAATCTCTGGTTTGATCAGGATTAAGAGCCTCATTCATTCGTTTATGGGAGCAACTCTCTGTTTTCATTCTCCATCGCATACATATTCATATCTTTCTTTGTTATTTGTTACTCCCTCCGTCCCATTTTATGTGATGTACTTTGATTTGGCACAAACTTTAAGAAAAATGGAAAGACTTTTAAAACTTGTGGTCCAAAATGAATGATAGAAATTTGTGTGGTTGTAAATCATTTCATTAAGGGTAAAAAAGACATTTCATAGGCAAATTGTTACTTAAAATAGAAATGTGTCATTCTTTTTGGGACTGACTAAAAAGGAAAGTGAGTCATATAAATTGGGACAGAGGGAGTAACTATTTTCGACTCAATTATTTAAGGATGTCATGTAGAACGTAAAACATAGGTATCTAACATTGACTACTTGTAACATTAATTACAGATATGAAATTTTAGTCTTAATTCCTGGCTCTCTCAGAGTTTCAATAGATTGTCCGTACAAAATCTAAAATTAAAGGGTCTTACACAGCCAATAGAAATTTGCCATGTCATCTCTGATCACGTTGTCTTCACGTGCTCTAGCCTATCGCCATTAAGTATTTTTGACTCTTCCAATTTAAAGAACTTCCACATATATTTGAAAGATCCTAATAGTGCCACGTATTTCTTTCATCTCATATTAATTATTGTATTTATCAAGTTTATATTTGATCATAAATTTATTAAACGAAAAGAAAAATAAATATATTATTTAGTCAATGAAATTTGATTATTTTTTAATTAATATTCACTCTGTTCATTTTTTTTGTTACATTTAAACTTGGAGTAGAATTATCAAAACACACTTAAACTATCTGATTTTTTTTTTTGTTTCACAACTAATATGTAGCTCGGATACATTAAAAACTAACTCGGATACATTATAAAATAAACCGGATACATAATATGTAACTCGGATACATTAAAAATTAGCTTGGATACATTATAAAATAATTTAGAATCAGGAGAGAAATAAGAGATTTTAGAGGTTTTTAGAAATAGAAGGGAATATTAGAAATAAGGGAAACATAAGACGTGTATTTCTCCTATATTTTTTGAGTTTGTTTGAAATAAAATGTCGCTTTCTTAATTTGACAACTTTTTAATTTTAACATCTCACGTGACATGTTTAAAACCATAAGATTTAGAGTGTATTTTAGTACATATCCTTAACTTAAAACCACAACATCAAAAAAATTCACAACTTTCTTAAATTTTGTGACAGGTTAAATTAAGAGACAAACAATTAATTTTTCTCTAAAAAATAATAATTCCATTTTGTCCTTTATATATTTTTTATGGTTGAAAGGATAATATATATATATATATATATATAGAGATATCTATGTTCTTGTCTTTAGCAAGTTGGTCTTTGATATATTCTGACAGAGATTGCAAAAAGATAGCCTTGTCGTAGTTTGTCAGCTTGGATCCTCGCTTAGCTAATGTATCTGGTAATATCTACATTACGAATACACACACAACTTTAACCGACTACCAAACAACCCCTTTTTTAACTCTTGCAATTTTTCACACACAAAAGAGTGTTGTTTTCTTTGCTTGTAGGATGAAAGTTCACCCAAATGATCACAGTGTCATGCATAGTTTTCTAACTAGTCGCGTTTTCTTCAATTCAATCAGAGGCTAATTTATTTAGTCGAGCAATTATTTTTAGTAATTTTTAATTTTGACTAATTTAAATTGATCCAAAACTCTTTCGATCCTAAATCTATTTCATGGATCTTCTTCAATCAGGAGAAGACTTGATTCTATTGAAGAACTAACATCCTTTTTAATGTCTTCATCGTAAAAGAAATATCTTCCATTAAAAAAAACCAATCAATCGAAAAATTAAATTAAAAAAAAATTTAGTCCAAGTAATTATATCTCTCATGATGCCATGATGGAACCATAACACTTGTAACAAAGTCCAATATATCTTTTGGCTTAGAATGATTTTTCATTTGAAAATTTTCCAAAGGCACCAAACATTAAAGACAAAATTAAATCATTTGATCAAAAGATTAATCCAATAGCCTACATTATAAGTAGCATAGGGTGGTCAATATTTATAGGCATTTTATAGGTTTGATGGGAATTATTAATTTATTTAAAAGAGAAGACTTTTTCAAAAGAGAATTAATAAGACAATGATGTTTTATCCAATAAGATTTTTTATCCACTCAAATCCACCTGCCCAAGTGGATCATGATTTTATTGTCAATTAAATAGGTTGCCAATAAAAGTACAATCAACCGTTGAAATATTTATACGTATAACGTACCAAATGCAATTAAGTGAATGTATGGTAAAAATAATAATTCTTTTACGCTATCAAAAGATGTGGTGCAGTGAATGAAGTTATTTTTATTTTAACTAGAGGTCTCGGGTTCTAGCCATTATAATCTACTCAAAAAGTTGAATGTACCTTATTTATACATGAGTTATACATTATGACACACTGAAAAAACTGAATATAGTTAACTATACATTGATATTCAATTATGACCAACTCAAAATCTTATTTAAACAATTCTGAATTTTAAATATAAAATCCTCTCAATATTTCAAGTCTTTTGATATATAATTTGCTCGAAACGATTCATGTTTACAATACGTGAAAAGAAAACAAATTTTGGCAAAAACCAAAAACACTTTTCTCAAATTGAGATAATTTTGTTTGAGTGGTTGATATTAAAACACATTTAAATTAAACCCGACAGCAACAACTCAAACTAGTCTAACCCATGAGCCTTTGTTCCTACTTTTAGCAGCATATTACTTTTTTAATTTAGGAAAGTTTATGTAAAATGTATTTTTCGGCGATCTAATTTATCAATATGGACGAAGCATATACTATTTATATATTTCGAGAATATATATATATATATATATATATATATAATATCTATC